TCGCTGTCGACAATACTACGATTCTTCAACAAATGTGTTTCGTTTGTTTGGTTTTTACAGTGAATGTAAAGTTTGTTAGTAGTTTTAGTGCAACGGACATTGTTATCCTTATTTTGTGATAATACCAAAAAAGACAATGTTTTTATATAATAAGTTCCATTTTATCTGTGCATTATGTTATATTACAATGTATTATATTTGTCAATGAGTTGATGAAAAAGGATATCGAAATGAAGAACAAGTTAAAAAATATTTCGCTATACTCCATTGATCCTTTTCAGCTCATGTACTGAACATGTTATTGACCTGACCAAATAAGGGTTAATTTATGCAGCGTCGATTTTGAATAGAATTTAAATTATTTTATTTTTATTAAGATGAATCTTTTTATTGGGTGATTTACTTACTTATTTTTACATGGTATGGGTGTTGTGTTTTATTCTACACGTAATTTATTTCACATATGTTGTTTTTAAGTATTTACACATGTGCTATTTGCTGAACTGATATTGTCTTTAGGGTGATGTAATATCGGGGGGAGGTTAGTGGTGTAGTGAGATGTATGTATGTTTGCAAGACATTTTGCCGTCGTTGTGACGCATGTTGTTAAGGATTTCTTGAATTATATTGTATATATTGTAGCTAGTTTCAAGTTCTTTTTTCTCGTACTGAAAGACACATCACCAGATTGGCTCCTCTATATGTAACATATTCACAATCGAATATATTAATAACTGGAATTAGGTTATTCCAAATTAACATACATATCGGACATGGACTATGCATATTTGGGAAACAAAAATAGATAAACGTACATACAACGTACGAATAACATTGAAGATGAAATTCATCTCCTACAAACAAATTATCGCACGATATTCAAACCAATTTCGCAAAAAAACATATCCTAAAATAAATTCACATAGCTATTTTCTTTACTATCAACAAGGATGTTTCCAATTTAATTCATCAAGGAGACAGTTACTGCATTGTTCCAGACAATAGCTCTGAACACTGAACTGATGATACACTATAACTGCTGTGTGGGTGTATGAATTGCATTCACCGATATTGCCCCAAAACATTAATTGTACTCACGTTTCTATGATCATCAAATTAGCACAGTCACATGCTGTTTCGATGTTTTTTTTGGTCTGATAGTACTCTGGTAAATATATCATTATAGACCTGAAATACAATACATTTTAAGGTACCTGCGTAGATAATTGAAATAGGATGTGACAAAAGTTGGATGAATCATTCGAAGACGACGACGATGTTGCAAGACAGGTGTACGCCATTGCAGAAATTGAGTACTTGGATAAGAGAGTTGAGAATGGCAGGAATGCTCAAACTTGTAACATCTGCTTTGAATGAAGGCGAATCGTATTTTTAAATTTACGATGGAACATTTATTGGCTCATCAAATGTGAGGTACAATTCCTACAATCAGGACATGCGCACTTCGAATCTCCGACGTCACAAACAACGTGTACGCAGGAGTTTCATTTAGATTAAGTTATAACTTTATTATTCAACCAATAGGAATCGCATGCCTGTAAACCATATGTTTATCTATTATGTTGAAACACATTTTAAAAGGTGCTAAATGTTTTGTTTTTTTGGATGATATCCATTATACAATATAACAATAAAATCTAACCAAACACATGTTTTCCGGTATCGTACAAAATTGTTTATTTTAATAAATAGTAAATCCTTCAAATGTAATTCACGGCCGCGCAACCCTGGTGTAAATTGTCATATTAATACTACATTATCCACAATAAACATTAAGTACTGATTATCAGTTGGATGATTGGTTACCAAGGAAATAATAAAATAATGTTTTGATATGCCGCTCTTTATAAAATGTGAAATTCTTTTTAGTATAATTAACAAACAAACAAATATAACCGGTTCTTGCCAACCAGTCATTGCGAACACGCACCCAGAGCGTAAACATCTGCGACGGTCTATAGGAAGCATACTTACCGTCATATATCAGTCTATTATCAGTTTTTGTGCCAAATTATTGTGATTTATTTTTGTTTGGAATTTTATAATCACATTGAATCTTGGCATAAGTGAAACACGAATAAAATATTCGGAAGACTACGATTAAATATAAAACGTTCGTATCTTATGTTATTTATGTAAAACAAACGTGTAAGATTCAAATGCAAAAAAAAAATTAATAACTCAAGTGTTTGTTTATCCTAAATTATCTAACCATAATTTTACTTACTACTCCATGTTTCAGAATGTCGCACTAATGCATAAATGTTATCATAAAAATCAGAGCAACCCTTGTTCATGCTTGTTACAACACAAAAAGCTATGAATAAGGTTTAACTGTAGAATATTTATACTGCAGATAACTTGTTTGTTGGTTGTTGGTTGCCAGGCAGTAAACAACAATTGCATGCTATCAAGCCCAAAAACAAACCCACCGTCTCACAAATTAAAAGAAGCCGTTTTTCAGACAAAACATGCTAGCGTGCTTATTGTTGACCTGCATTTGAAGCAGTTCAACCCAAATTTGACCACATTTAAATGTTTGTGTATAATTTCACAATTCTCAGCAAATACAAATTGCATACATTTTACGCGATTACTCAATTCAGGAAACACATTATTCTCGGATGATACAACGTGTGAAACATAGAAAATATTTGCCACTAAAACTATGTGTGTTGATTGAGAAGAATGTTTTCAAAAAGAAAATTGTCAGTTGAATATGTTGGAAAGTTTTCAACAAAGACACACTCAGATTCTAATGAACCAAACTATGCTATATATACCAGTATATATACTGATTATTGGTTCATATTAATATTCTGACTTCATTACATCACTCTGACCTGAAAATTACTATCCACGAGTCCTATTAAAGATATTGAGTAAGGAGGCTTGCTGGTTAAATAAAAAAAATATTCAAATAAATATATTCTGAGCAGAAAAATGAGTGTCGATCACTTTTTATTGAGTCTTTACTGTCAAAAGTGGATTTTTGGAAGATAACAATTTGCATGGTTGTATCCATGGTACCTTCGATTTCTAACCTATAATTATCACCTGTGGTGGGGCTCAATTACGTCGCATGCAAAGCCAAATCCGCATCATTATAGGAAACGAAACAAAGCAATGGGTCCATGTAAAACGTACTGTGTGCAAAGACATATTATTAACACAGTTGGACATTCATTAATATTTTTGCACACGGCTCACAAAAATATTAAGCCAATCACATTTGATATCATAATATTTAATCATATGATTAAATACAAGTCGTCGACGGTAGGAGTTGTCAGTTTATTTGGTTCGACATCATTTCAAGTGCATAACCATTACACTATATGCAGATAATTTCAGGTGGGTTTGTTTGTTTTTGAGCGATATGTCATTTAATGAATGTGACCTGGAAAATATATGTGTTGATGAGGACGTGCCAGTTGATAATGTAATATATCACCCGATATTATAAACAAGCAGAATTATTGTTGACACAAGGCAATTAATAAGACAACGCAACGATCAGCTCAGCGACAATGGCGGTTACAGTTAGGTTTTTTCGGGCGACATTGCTAGGCGATTATACCACACACATACACACATGCACACACTGTGTTTTACTATCGTTGTGACGCCACACATTGGATTCACTTTTAATATAGTTGAATTAACTTTTAATATAGTTGTGATATGAACTCGATTAAAACGCGTTCCTATATAGGGTTGCGTTTTAATTGGAGTTTAATTAAACTCAATTACAATGCAATGCAACGTAGAATTGCGTTTTAATTAAGTTTAATTAAATAAAAGCTTTTTTGTTGTTTTGAATAACATTCCTTGCAGTGTTTTGTCAGAGGAATGTCACATGAAATGAGCCCAACAAGTGTATTACAAAGTCATATGTCATTGTCGTATATTTAATAATGTTAAACAAATTGTATTGATATGATAATATGTGCGTTAAAACAATGGGTGCGTGTAATAAAGTCCAACATGAGTCCAACAACCCAATCCGATATCATCAAATTGTCTCAAGGCGGTCGCAATGAACTTGATCACAATGCATAGTGGTGATCTTGTCAAATGATGAGGGGTAAGCAAGTGATGTGATATGCGAAATTCGATACAAACATGCATTTCCAAAAAACTAATTGCCACAAGAACTTGTGTTATTAATTTGATTACTGTTCAGGTTAGGTTAAAACAAATATTGTCTACATTTTGCTTTTTTTGTATACGGTGATAATTACGTTGGCTTTTTTTATGCAATCGACCCCGTCCGCTGTGTTCTGTGATGGCATTGATTAAAATACATGCGATTGACAAACACGCACGTGGAACTCATGAGATCATGAGATCTACATCACCTATGATCTACATTAAGATCGGTCGCATATATTTATCTTATAAATCCTTGATGGTTCTTTATGTACCGCGTCATGCTTTAGACATTTATATATGTACGAATACACGCTGAACTCGCCAATGCTAAGTCAGCAAAAACAATCAAAAAAATATAACTGTCGAAGGTTTAAATTATATATACATTATCACAATATATGTTGTATTACATTATCGATACATTGGTAATTTTAACGTTTGCGAAGTGTACATCAATATACATATTTGATCCCATATATAACATCGGTTCATCGGAATGCAAATGAACCAGAATGCTTCGCGATCTCTTGAATACTCGACCATCACTGTGTTACTTTTAGCTTTTAGCAGCGAATTGTATATATGGGATTTCGAAACCTTAATCTCTCCATTGAGTGAGAAATCCAGATCACACTAATCAACCCTCGGTCAGTGTGACAGTGGCTTCTCGTTGCACTATATATATAACAAACAGACAAAGATGCCTAAAATGCAAATATTATTTAATATACCAGAAGTTTAACAATAACAATTTATATAACAGCTCTTAACGCAATCCTTGTTATTATTCTGCATTTTTTGTCAGGCACGACGTGGAACCATTTTGACCATACAGCAATAAACAGATATCAGAAACCCATTCACATATTCAAACCCAGAACAATTAAACCACAATTCTTTGCACACAATGGCACAGAGCAGTATCCAAAACCACATAGTGACTGCCCGGACAAAAAGTGTGAGCCACACAGTAAGTGGCCATGGCTTTTAAAAACAAGT